CCCATGACTATGCAGGATTGCTTTTGCATTTCAAACTCTTCCACACTTTCAGTTTCGGAGTAAGTGGGTTAATAGCTAATCTCTGTATGGGAATTCATTCTGCCCTTGAAGCTAGGGCTACCACACGTCCAGATTTCCCCAGACATGTCCAGCTTTTCGGTCTATAAATAGCCGACCGGGGGGGAAATCCCGGACATTTATAGACAGAAAAGTGGTGGCCAAGTGCCGCTCAGCAGCCAAAGCCCCTTCCCTGCTCTCTTCCCTGCAGCCTTACCAAGCTGTCCGGCCCCACAGCTGTTTTTCCCCCTCCTCCCTGCCTCCCCTGAATGCTCCGCCCCCCCCTCGCTCTTCCCCCTCCCCAGCTTCCTGCAAATCAGATCTTCACGGGAAGTCTGAAAAGAAGCAGGGGCAGGCAGGCGGCAGCAGCAGGTAAGCTGGGGCGGGGGCAGGGAGGAGAGCTCCGGGGATACGTGGCTCTGGCCGAGTGGCACCCGGTGGCCCCAGCGGCTCGGGCCCCGGGGCATTGGCCCCGGTTCCGGCCGAGTGCGCCAGCCCGGCCCCAGCGGCTCCAGCTTGGCTTGGGCCCCAGGGCGGCAGCCCCAGTTCCGGCCGAGCGCACCAGCGTGGCGCCAGCTGAGCACCCCCAGCCCCAGCTGCTCCGGCCCGGCCCGGTTCTGGCAGAGTGCGCCAGCCCAACCTTGGCCAAGCACCTCCGGCCCGGCCCCGCGACCCTGGCCGGAGCACAGCCCGATTCCTGGGCTCTTTTAAAGCAGGCCCTGGTCAGGGGATGGGGGGTGGGGAGGTTTGAGGGTTCTGAGGGAGGCAGTCAAGGGGTGGGAAGTGGGAGGGAGTGGATGGGGGTAGGGTGGGGCTAGAGCGGGGCTCCTCTTCCCCCCACCCCCCCGTGTCCTTTTTTTGCTTGGGGAAATATGATAACCGTACTTGAAGCAGGGCTGAACCCATAGTCTGATGGGTCTCCATCTTTACTACTTATTGAAGCCTCGTGGCCTTCATCTATTGAAACTGCTTTTATTGCAGCTCTCTAGGCCAGGGATCACATCTCATCTTGTGATCTGTGCAGCACCATTGAAATTTCTAGAGCTCTAAGGGACTAGGACAAAAGTGCTGATCCCTTTCAACGCATTGCAACATCCAGTCCCAGTCTTAGATTCCTTCCCCAAGGCAGTTCCTCCTCTGACCTCTAGCTGGTCAGTGCAACACTTGGCTAAAATATAGGGTTACCATATTTTAAGTGTCCAAAAAGAAGACACTCCACGGGGCCCCGGCCCTGCCCCCAGCCCCGCCCACACCCCAACTCTGCCCCCTCCCCTGCTTCCTGCGAACATTTGATTCGCAGGAAGCCTGAAGCAGGTAAGGGGGTGGGGGGAGAGGCGCGGCCC